TATGTATTTGGATGATGATTCCCATGCTTCCGTTTGCAAACCAAAGGCCCAAGAAAGCATTGTTATTTTCTCCTTGTATAAATAAACAGTTCTGTCTTGTGAGGCTTTGCTCCGTTTAAGTTTTACCCCTAAGCAGCGTCAAAGACACCATTTTTGATCACTTGCTTAAATACAATCGTGATAGACCAATATGAAGGAGTCAAAGAGTTTTATTTCATGTGGACTATTTGATCTGTTAATACACGTTGAGCAAACTCATGAAGGTGGAGATTGAAATCTCATGATCAGTTCTAAATCATTGGCTTCGACCAACTGGGATTTTTCAAGATTACAGGTGGCCATCCTTCCCGACTGATCCCACCTTGGTCACAAAAGGAGGCCGTCCCTTGTCAAGTATGTGATTCTGAAGTATCCATATTATACGCAACGTGGGTCTATGATAGCGTGTCTGATACAATATGTTGGCCCTGTTTCAAATTGTGGTCTTGATTCCAATCTTTAGTGATTTATCTTTTGAAGATTGATGCTGATGCTGATGTTGGACCGCTGGTAGATTGGAGGTACATATCCGGTTGGTTGAGCCGGAGTTAGCAGTTTTTGGTTGTCCGTTGACCCGGAGTGATCGATCCGCGGATAGTCGGCTCGTTCGGTGGTCAACAGCCTAGGAGAACCCAGCACTTGATGGATTCGCTGTTGACCACATCGAAGCACATCTTCTCCCTCCTCACTCCACCCATGTCAAGTCAGGCCTCATGCTGTCTGCTCACCTTTCCTCGGTCGAACGCAATCTCCTCAATGGTACCTTTCGAAGACCTTCGTACCACAATCCTAGGATCATCCCGAGGAAGAAACCAATCGAGGCCTGGTCTATGCGCCGTCATTTAGTGTATGTACCTCTCTCCCTGCATGCTATGTCAGCAAGTGAAGCTAATCTCGCCTGTGTGTATCTATTTAAGACCACCTTCACCACCGTCATCGTCATCTAGCGCTGCAATTCGGCCTCGACCGCCTTCTTGGCCAAGGTCAATATTTCCTCGATCACCCGTCGGCACCTGCTGTTTGCCAGCCAGGTCAAGTCACTTTCGAACGGTCTACACTGCTGTGCGCCCTCTTCCGCTCGGACCCTTCTCAAAGCCGAGCAAGCAATTCAAGTGGTCTCTAATTTCAATCGGTGGTACCGGTCTTCTCTATCTACTATTATCAACAGATGGATCCCTTCAACTTGCCGCAAGACCAGAGTCCATCGATAATCAGGTCAATATCTTACCGATCACCAGACCAGCTCGCAGAAAATCATCCAAAACTAGTTTGCGATCATTATGGAACTCGATCAAGAGAAACATAATTGAGCCTCTGGCCACCGCCAGCCGATTCCTGTATCTTCTGGCCTTGTTTTTGCCCGTACTCATAACCTCACCGGTGGTCTTGTTAGAATATATCGAATTGGCACATCCAAGAAAACGTCGAAAAGTCAGGAAAGATGGGACGTTGATCACCGAACGTGCAAGTACTAGCTGGTGGTACAAGTTATTAGTCAGCTCGACTCAGAAAGCCGGTCCCACTTTCATCAAAGTAAGTGGTCCTGATTGCTCATTCGGATCGCATCATGAGGAGTCGAGATGAACAGACCATGGATCTTGAATTCGTCTCACCTGCTCTTTTTTCGACTCTCAGTTGGCCCAATGGGCTGCTTCTAGGACTGATCTGTTCCCTGCCGCACTCTGTCAACATTTTGGGAAGCTTCACTCCAATGGCAAACCACACTCAATGGCATATACGCGAAGAGTGCTAGAAAAAGCGTTTGATAAGAAATTCGAAGATATCTTCATCTCGTTTAACCCGGAACCTTTGGGGATTGGAGCGGTTGCACAAGTGCGATCTTTTTACATACATATTTCGCCATCAATCATGATGCTTTATAACTCAACAAAGTGTGTGTTTGCTAACCCTTTCCGTATTTAGGTGTACAAAGCTACTCTCAAGCCTGATCTCTTACCAGTTTCTTACCTCGAACCTAAGCATTTGAACGAAACCAACGAACTGTCAGTGGGCCAGCTATCTCGCAAGTTGGCGACATCAGATGTAGACCCACCAGTGATGAAGCCCTCGACGACTGTGGCGATCAAAGTCCTACATCCCAGAGTGACCAAAAACATCAAGCGGGACCTGAAGATCATGGGCTTTTTTGCATATCTCGTCAACTGTTTCCCCGGGGCCGAATGGTTGAGCTTCCCAGAGGAGGTGGAAGTGTTCGGGAAACTCATGGAAAGCCAAGTCAATCTCAATGTGGAAGCTCAGAATCTAGAGCGCTTCGAAAATAACTTCACCCATCGGAAAACGGTCTCCTTCCCAAGGCCTCTCAAGGCTTACACTACTGAGAAAGTCTTGGTCGAGGAATTCGAGGATGCCTTACCGTTGAAATATTTTTTGAGAGATTCTAGTGGCCCGTTTGATCATCGGATATCCAATATTGGACTGGATGCCTTCTTGGTGAGTCATCAGTTTGGTTTGAACCTCTATCTCTCGTGAATATAATGAGAACTTATTGTGTGGCCTCTCGATCATTTGCGCTTACTTTTTTCTTTGGGGGGATGGGAGCACAGCACATGCTTCTGATCGACAATTTTGTTCATGCAGATCTACATCCGGGAAACATCATGGTGAAATTCTATCAACCAACGACGAAATCGATGCTCCAATCACTGTGGAGAAAGTTTACCAACGCGCCGGACATTGATGCAGGAGAAGAAGATAGTCAGTTGACATCGGAGATCGTCCATAAACTTAAGAAAGTCCATCGTGAAGACCCGTCAAGCTGGGATTCAGAGCTAGAGAAGCTTGACCAGGAGGGTTTTCAACCTGAATTGGTGTTTATAGATTCCGGCTTGGTGAATGAATTAGACCAGAAGAACCAGAAGAATTTCCTGGAGTTATTTGAAGCGATCGCGGGATTTGATGGATACAAGGCAGGAAAACTGATGGTGGAGCGCTGTCGGACGCCAGAGCTAGTGGACGATGAGGAGACCTTTGCGGTGAAGATCCAACACTTGGCATCGAAAGTGAAGGCGCAGACGTTCAGTCTATCGAATATCAAGGTTGCCGACGTCCTTCTCAACGTGCTGACTGCCGTGAGGGAACACCATGTCAAGATGGAGGCCGACTTCATCAACACAATCCTTTCTATCCTCATCCTCGAAGGCATCGGAAGACAGCTCAACCCCGAACTCGATCTCTTCCAGAGCGCCTTACCTATCCTTAGAAGCCTCGGTAGCAAGCAGATCAACGCCTCTGGCTCAAGTCCTAGACAGTTTGGTAGCATGTTTAAAGTCAGTCTTCTTTCAACTCTCAATATTTCCTTTTTGTGTTCTATGGTCTGCTTTCGGTCCTCATTGATTGTGTTTCTTCTTCTTCTTCCCCTTCAGATCTGGCTCTTACTCGAGGCGAGACATTTCGCAAGTATTGCGGTATCAGAAGTAGATGATATGTTGAAATATGACTTGTAAGTCACCCATTTATTTTAACTTCATGTCCTCAGTCCCCAATTGACTGATTCTGTCTTGGTTTGTTTTTCCTGTTCTTCTCTCCCTCCCTCCCTCCTACTCATCTCTTTTTTTCCTTTTCTTCATTTTCGACTATCACACATTGAAAACTATAAACACCTTCTGACACTTATCTACTTTTGACAGGCTAATGCCTAATATTTAAAAGATAATTTTGTTTTATACATATAGTTTTTTACAAAGGAAATAGCATATCATCCAGTGTTCATTCATGTATAATCATCATCAGCTGGAGGTTTTATGTATCCTATAACATAGTATTCTGATCACATCCCTGTATATTTCAACTTTATTTGATCATTATCTCTGCTCTTTCCATAATACATACATACAGTCTCTTTTTTTGTTTTCTGTTTTGCTTTGTAAATCTTACACCTTCATTCATATTAATCAATAGACACATAATCATGTTATAGAGTGTGTAACTATGTAAAGACTCTTTGCTCTTTGTAATCCTCATATGTTCCAACTAATCAAAGCTCTTTAACTGTTGAATGGATTTCTTGATAACTTCTAAAAAATATGAAAATTTTTTGAAGGAGGACTGAAATTAGTGGTGATCTGGGCAGCAACTGTGGGCATTCTTGCCAATGCCATGTGTAGTTTTTTTTTTGGTTGGTTGGTTGGAGTACAACTGACTAAGAATGGATGTCCATTCCTGTCTGCTGTATTACCATGCAGTGCAAATCAAAGATGCCTGAAATGTTGGAGACAAGGAAATATCATTTTTTCTTCTCTCAGACCTGCTGTGTCTTAATAAAGCATACAAAGTGCTTGACTACATAAATACAAGCGCTGAAGGGTGACCTCGGTCAAAGGTCTTGGTTAGACGATGTTATGATGTTACATCGGTAAATTCAAAGAAGAAAGTACAGCAAGCTACAGATTTTGAGCGAGCTTTACAGATTATGTAAATGATGCTGAATTTAAGACAGCTCTTCTGTTTTTTGATCCCAGAGATCTGTAGAGACCCCAATTAAAATCCAACAAACCAAGTTGATTCATTCTATTCAGTTTTTCTAGATTGCTCCCATCATGACCGGAAACGACCGCTTTGGAAACCTTTCGACCCCATTTGCCGAGCCAGCCTGGTAAGTAACTGCAGTAGTACGAATTGTTTAAGTGTACTGATTCATCTACGATACTTTGGCCAACAACAGGTATAGTGGTCTGCCTTCGCCGTACTACAAAGCCTCGCATCTCAGACTACGAGAGGTCGCAAGGAAATGGACGGAGACTCATCTGATGGACCAAGCCCACGACTGGGAAGAAAGTCAGTCCGCTAGCCCATTCCCTTACTTCCTCGCGTTTCCCTATTCGATTGATCGCTAAGACCGTATCTCTGTTTTCGTGGCCGGCCGTTGCAGGTGGGTCCATTGATCATGCAACCTATCAACAAGCAGCGAAGGACGGTCTTATTGTCAGCACTTTCCTCCAAATCTCCTCATCAGACTGGTTTTCTGACGTCCTCTCACTCGTCCTTGTACCCCTTCGAATAGCTGCCCAACATCGGTGGAATCAGAATCCCAAAAGAGTGGACCAAACACGCTAAAATCATCGCCGATATTCCGCCCGAGGAGTGGGACGGCTTTCATGCATTCATCTTACAGGATGAACTGATGAGATGTGGTTCGGCTGGGTACATATACCTTCATTTTAACCATTTACCTACTTTTTACCCCCTCCAAAAACTTGACTAATTTTGAATACATGATTTTATTTTCTTCTTTTTTTCAGTGCTGTTGGTGGTTTGTTCAGCGGAATGGCTTACGTGAGTAATCTAAAAGAAAATCCAAGAGATTCTACACATTTGAAACTTGGCTGAGATGATTTGACGGGAACGAAAGGGAGCCCCGTTAATATGGAAATATGGCTCAACAGAGCTACGCGAGAAGCTGATGCCGGGCCTGTTGAATGGGAGTAAGAGGACATGCATCACCATCACTGAGCCTAGCGCCGGAAGTGATGTCAAAAATCTCTCGACGACTGCTGAGAAAAGTCCCGATGGAAAGCATTGGATCATCAATGGTTTGTAGTACTTGACGCTCAACACCTTCCTACCTGCCAATCAATCCGCGCTCATCCGCTCTAAATTTTACCCCTTCTCTTATCCGTCTACGTATTTAACCAGGCACGAAGAAATGTGAGTTCGGGTCTCTAATTTGGTATTATATGAATGGAATGTTGATTGGCGTGTGTTTGTTTGTATAGGGATCACCAATGGAATATGGTGTGATTATTTTACCACTGCTGTCCGCACTCGAGGAAAGCCTGGCGATCCATCAGGAATCAGGTACATAAGCCAATCTAAATGACACAATTTTCAGTGGTTTCGACATTCGGTACTGACATGGCTCCTTGGGAAAAATTCCCTCTGGATAGTGTTATTGTTATCCCCAAAGGCCCAGACGTCAAAGTCAGCAGGATGAAAATGGGCGGGGTTTGGTGTAGCGGAACCAGGTCCGTGTTCTTTATCCCACTGTCACTCACATTTATCTCACAACAACCAATTAGGCCTTCACCGCGCTTTTGAAATCTTAGTCAAGTGGTTTTCGATAATGTCAAAGTTCCAATCGAGTCAGTCGCGATTTTTTGTAAAATGGGCTCTGAAATTGATTTGTTGACAATCAGTCGATTTTTTTTTTTTTTTGATCTGCGATTCCAAGTTACCTCGTCGGAAAAGAAAACGAGGGGTTCAAGTACATCATGTCGAATTTTAATCACGAACGGTGAGCAGCTCACTTCTACCATGAAACCCAATACAAAAAAAGAGAAAGTCTAGATATGACCACAAGACTGAGAAATCCGAATGGGGATGGGGGGTGGGGATGCAGATTAAACATTGCGTTTTCGGCGCATCGAAGTGCCCGAGTGTGTATCGAGGACGCGATGGCGCACGCAACGAAGCGAAAAGTGTTTGGAGAGCCATTGATGGAGCTCAGTATCATCCGACACAAGCTGGGCCAGATGGTCCGATTGGTCGAGTCTCAACATGCATGGATCGAGAGTCTCGTCTACCAACTCAACCAGCTCAGCGATGCCGAGGGGACCGCCCTTCTGGGCGGCCAGTCCGCTCTCCTCAAGGCTCATTGCGGGATCACTCTCGAATTTGTCGCTAGAGAAGCCGTCCAGATCTTGGGCGGTTTGGGCTATACTCGTGGTGGGGCCGGTGAACGGTATGTTTCTTTTTCCAATCTTCTGTTCTGAACTAGTCTTTTTCCGTTTTGCTCGTTGATAAATTTGACTATTTCCTGATCCAACACCCTGGTCTACTCCATTTGCTTTGTCAGCATCGAACGTGCTTGGAGAGAGATTAAAAGTGTCTCCATCCCAGGCGGGAGTGAAGAAGTGATGCTAGATTTGGCCGTCAGACAACAACTCAAAATCAGCTTGAAAAGCACTCGTCAAACCAAATTGTAAACCCAATCCTTCCTTCCCAATCCCCCGTCTGTTACATCGGTCTTTGTTTCGGATATTCCTTTTCTCTTCATGTTGATAGCTTGACTATCATCTGTTGTGCCATTTGTTTGAGCTTCCATGCCCATGTATTCTTAAGATCAACGTGTACTACAAATTAGACAATCGTCATTCTCCTGTTTTCCTATTCTTTCAGGAATTTACATTTGTCTTTTCATAGCAGAAAGGTGGTGGGACAGATTACTACAGAGCAGTCATTCCACACACATGAGCAATGTTCACCGTAACTATGTAGTCTTGTGTAAGGGCTTGGCAATCCGTGACATTGGTGATTTGCTTACCTACTTCTGCATGCTTACGACTCATTTACTGACACAAAACAAGAAAAACACAAACATAAGAGAAATCAAATCAATAAGGGGGTTCACGATTGAACTTTAAGGCCATTTTTAAGGTGTTTCTGATCATAAATTTATAATTTTTGGGGGTTGGAAAAACGACTCCCATTTTGGTCAAGGGGTCGTCGGACGGGAGTCGTCTTTCCAATTCCCCCTGGGGGATTGGGAGTCAACCTCCCAATTCAATTTTTTTTTTTTTTTTTTTTTTTTTTTGGGTGGGAGTCGGCGCCCAAAACCTCCCTTGGCAAGTGGGAGGTTTGGGGAGTCGCTTCCCTCCCACTGGCCGGGGGGGATTCCCTCCCGGTCATCAAGACTGTACAGTCTCAATGACCCGCAGGGGAATCCTTTCCGGTCATCAAGAATGTACAGTCTCGATGAGACCATTCATTGAGCCGGAAGGAATCCCTCGACGTCATCGAGACCATACGATGACTGGAAGGACCCCATCGCGGCATCCACACCAATTGCAATTTTAATGACAGAAGGGATCCCTTCCGGCCATACAATCTCGATGGCCGGAAGGGATTCCTTCCGGTCATCGAGACTGTACAGTCTTGCTGACCGGAGGGAATCCCCCCCGGCCAGTGGGAGGGAAGAGACTCCCAAACCTCCCACTTGCCAAGGAGGTTTTGGGTGCCGACTCCCACCCAAAAAAAAAATTGAATTGGGAGGTCGACTCCCAATCCCCCAGGGGGAATTGGAAAGATGACTCCCGTCTGACAACCCCTTGACCAAAATGGGAGTTGTCGTCAAATTTTTGGGAGTTGTTTTTCCAACCCCCTAATTTTTTTGTGATGTACAGAAGGTTCAGCAACCATTAAATCGGAAAAACTCAAAAAAATTATAAAATGTTGCTCATAAACACCTTAAAAATCGCTCTAAAGTTCAATCATGAACCCCCCTAATGGACACGCCTCTGACACTGTAATTTTAAAGTGGTAGCTGATTCATTATTTTCTTGCTGCAAGATTCTCACCGGGCTGTCTCAAAGCAGGCTTTGTTGTACTGAGATATTTTTTACAACTAGAAACTCAAGCATGAAGAAAGATCTGAGGAGAGAATCATCATTCTGAGTATTCCTGATTGAGAGGATATCTAGGAGCTATAAACAAATGGGAGTGAAAATGTGGGCTGATAAATCTGAGAAGGTTTTAGATAGACAACAAAAGAGGAGAATGAATTCTACAGGTAACAGCTATGAAACTTCTGAAACTGGTGCTTGCTTTGTGGGGTTAACTACTTTTTTCTGAATGGAGATTGAGTTCATAAGATGCAGTTTTTTGTTCATTGATTCCCAAAGCTGACAGTAAATTTCATTGTTCAAATCCACATCAAGAATATTTTTTTTGAACTGGTTGTTTTTGTTGTAAATGATTTTAAGGTAACTTTTGATAAGCTTCAAGGTGATCAATTGTTTTCTTGACTCCCGTTTTTTGAAAGCACTCAAATAATCAATGGATTGCTGTATGCAACTTATCTCCTCCAAAAACTGGAAAGTATGAGAAACTAAATTCAACCTGTCATTATAGATGTTGTCCACTGGTAGAAAATAGTGATGAATAATGTCCCCATAATTTTCATTGATAAAATTCCAAGAAATGTAGCTGATCATTGTTTTTTCTTCACTTCCTGGTTCATTCAACTTCTTGGGCTCCTGGAAATAAGAGAGTATGTTTTCAAGATGTTTCTGGATGATTTTGGAGTAGTCTGAGTCTTCATCCGTTATGTGAATCTCAATAAGATCTGCATCAAAATTTCTGTGTGTTTTTGGTGTAAAATGTTTGATATATTGATGCTCCAATGCCCTGAAACAGCGGTCATTTTTGAAGATTGAATCGATGAATCCATCCTTGATCTCTTTAGTGTATGAATTGTGATAAAGTATAACTGCTTTATCACAATGGTATAAGAATTCTCTTGTTTTTGCTTCCTCAAGCACTTTGTTCATTCATCCAAAGTAAACAAATGGGAAAAGAGAATGTGAAAAACAATTGGGTATATCAGTGTATGATTTTTGACATTTACTTATGTGGAAAGTGAGTACCCCTCACCTGTGAACAGAGACCACAGATGGGATGAATAGTTATCTGAGAGGATAAGTTGAGTCCTAGGGTACTTTGGATAAAAAGGCTGTCCAGCATATTCCAATCTGAAGGTTGCGATCATGTTCATGGCCGCCAATTCTATGTTGTTCTTTTCTCTGTAGAAATCTCTAAACTGTTCTCCTGAAATTATTTGTTTCTCAAGCAAGTAATGAATGGTTTGCAAGATAATCCTCTGCAGTTTCAAATGTCTTTTGTCCAACTGATCAAACTTGGGTGAACTTTTTGAACCGGTAGATAAAGAAGTTTCTTGCAGTAGATCGCTCAACCATCTGGTTGGAAGGATTCCCTTAGCGGGGTAATCGGAAAGTCTGCTTTGAACTTTAGGTGATACAAGTATAAAAATGTCCTGCAACTGCCTGATTTTTTCTGCAAATCTTTGCGAATTTTGTTGTAGGTTCAGGTCGTTTGGAGTATCATGAGTCAAATTCGCCAAGTCCTTTATCAAATGCTTAAAGTCCTCCTGGGGTGTGCCTTTGGCTGTTAAGTGATACTAGTCAGATCCAGTTTACTTTCCAGTTGAATCAGCAACAGAATAGATTACTTTTTTGCCATTCCAAACGATCTGTTAACCTCTTAAGCTCTAACGAAGGTGAAGGAAACAAGTCAGATCAACTGGGCCCATTGTAGTATGCATGGATCATCGATCTTACCAGCTGGCTTTGTTTGTAGACGTAATTGTCGTTTTTTCAATGAAGGGAGAGCTTTGTTATACTCCTGAATTGTTTCCTCTTCTTTAATCGCAACTTGCTCTTTTGTAATCGCACCCCGCTCGCTGGGAATTGCAGGGGCTGATGTTGCACCCCTCCATCTCATAAGGATACCTGATGCTAAGATGGGATTATGACGTGGAAGACACAAAATATGATCAGCTCTCTTGCTTTTGGAGACAAAAACATAACGAGGCAGCGATTCAAGCAATTTACCCATTGCAGTCATGTAAAGAATTACTTGCAAGTAGCATAAAAATAGCATTCTTTTTCTTTGATACGCGAGACAAATCGCCATAGCAGATCTAAACAATAAGCTATAGTGGAGGTGATAATGTAATCGATTCGTGAACTCTGGCGTGGGTGAAGAACTCAGGATTGGCTACTCGAACGCGATCCTCTATGGGAACACCGTTGAGGCTTGCTATTTATGTGGCGAGATGGACACAAAGGCAGGTTTTACCGCCGACACTTATTGATCAGAGAAATTTGGCCAACAGAGTTCCGGGGCGCCAGTTCTGACTCCTGAGCAACAAGCTCGGCACATTCATGGGTGAAGAGTACCGGTCGGACAACTATTTCTAATCACCGCTCGGACTCGCTGTATCTGCTGGCGGTGTTTGAACTTTACCTAGGTACATACATCTTTTGAGCGCCTATCGCGTCAAGATCTCACCAAATGGATGCGATGCGGTACCTGCTCTAAAGTTGTATTCAAGTGTTTCGCTTTTTCTTTTAGGCATTCAGCATGCGGCAACTCAGGCGCCGTGCCGGGGAATGTCTTGCCCAGGTCTGATCGAAGACCATGTGATCACTGGGAATCGGAAATAATATTTATTTATTGCCAATACATCGTGCCATGGCAAAAGAACTTATAACGCACGGAGCTCGAAAGAGCGATTTTAAGGTGGCAAGCAACCCACCAGGATGTACAGAACATATTCTTTCGGGGGATTCAAACGATCAAACGATAGCTTCGAGTGCGACTGCGAGTCTTTGAGTTCGAAACGTTGGAGTTAATGTTTAGGTCGGCGTACAGAAGGGGCGTTGGGGGGCCAGGACGGCCCGACCTTGTGCCGTCGAACGTGCTGGACATTCCAAGCATCTTTGAGACCTATGCAATGCATCGCACCGGATCTCTTGAAACCTTAGCGTGTAGTCAGGAATACCAGACGCTTCAGCCCTCAGCATGGAATCAATTGAGGTATTTATACCGAAGAAAACTGTAGGGGCCTGAAGATCAAGATACAACAAGTGTGGTCGATTTCTGGGATGAGCGAGCGCTGGGAAGATTCTTGAAATAGTTGCAATTAGTTGCAGAAAAATCACATGAAACAACCAACACTGGCTCAAGAAGTCTATCTCATGGAACTTGTGAGAAAATTGTGTCAAGTGAATCATAAGACCGGCTGAGCTTTCCGGAGACTGGAGTGTTTTGCAGAGTTTGTAAAACTTTGCAAAGGAACAGTTGTCCTTGGAAAGCTGCAATAAGGCTACAATGACAAAAAAACCTCTGCAAGTTTGCACTATGCAAAAATTGACCTGGAATGTGATTTGGGAAGGATCCAAAAGAGTATCTGAGTACAGTCTACAGAGTGTCACCTCAAATTATAGTTTACCCAAAAACAGGAACATCTCACTTAAGGTCTTGGGTGAGGCTGCCCTGAACTCAACACAAGCAAGCTTGACTAGGCCTCTAGGCTACTAACCCTAACCCTAACCCTAACCCTGCTCTCCTTTGCACGAGTGGTAAACAGTGTGCCAACCGGAGGGAGGGACTTACATCTAAAGTC